TCGACACCACCATCCCCTCCAAAGCGGTCGCCCACCAATAAACCAACCAAAGCCGCCACCGCCGCGTCTCCATATCCCCTGCCCCGACCTGCTATATCTTACGACCCCCCGTTCACTCCCAATTTCGCCGTACACGCTCGTCGTATGAACCCTAGGTCCGCCGATTTTAACCACTTCGACCACCAGCCACTACTCTCACAAGTTTTCCAGCGACGCCGGCAACGGAAACACATACGAGATTCAAATTGGGGGAGGTGGGTTTGAGCTGAAAATTGGATCATATACAGGGACATTGATACAATTTTATTTTTTTTTTAATATTTTTGTAATATAATTGATGAGATATATTGTAATTAATTAAAAATCTAATAAATGCACATTAATGTCAGTTGAAATGCACAACATTGAATACGTATTTGCACATTAAAAATGTTCAGTCTACAAAATGCACCAAATCGAAAAAAAAAAAAAATTGAATCGGTCGCGATAAAAGTTTCAATTCATTTTTTATGTCTATCAGTTTTTTAATTTAATTTTTTGGTCATTTCAATTTGAACTGGTATTTTTTTTTATATTTTATATAAAACATACAAAATACTAAATAAAATATCAAAATACTAAATATGTGTTGCACTTCGGTACGTTATTAAAATATTATATAAAAAATATTAAAATATAAAAATAATAAATATATTTACATAATATAAATAATATAAATCATTATGATTGTTTAGTTTAATTTGGATAAACCAACTGAATATTCGACTATTTCAGTTCAATATTGGTTTGTTGGGAACGATTTATTAAAAAATGAATGCACTACTAGTGCACAATAGCGATATACGGACTGCACATTAATGACTGTCGGAATGCACAATAATGTTATACCAAATGCACATTAATTTGTCGATAATGCACATTAGCATGACAGTGTCACTTTCACATATATTACAATTGAGAAATGCTCACCTACCCACGGTGGGCACTTCAGTGCGATCTCTACTTAATTTACAAATTACATAAAAAAATATTATTTTTATATTACATTTATGTAAATATTATTTCAATTTTCATTTGGTTTGGGAAATATCATTGAAAAATAACTTAGCTTCGAGTGCACATTAGCGTCAGAGAGATTGCACATTAATGACTAAGAAATATCACTATATTGACATAAAAGACCGAAATAATTTTTTGAATTCACGTTTTATGTCGGTTTGATTATTTATTTTTATATTCAATTTTTTATTTTATATAATGTGAATAATATTTTAATTTGTTATTTGATTAATTCAATTAACTCATCAAATAAAGTAATTAATTCAATTCGATTTTAAATTGGTTTGTAACGACAAAAAATGTGCACAATAGTGTTGTGCTAATTGCATGTTAATTATTATCCAACTACACAATAGTGATCGGAACTAATCGAACTAAAAATTCCTTCATATTTTATACATTTCAGCTCACTTATTTGTTGCTATTTTTAAAATTTTGGTTATTTCAAATGAATTTCTTATATTTTTTTTTCAAGATTTATTTTTATTATGTATTTATTAATTATTAATATTTTGTATAAATAATTTTTAATTTACTTGTCAATATTGATCATTTATTAAATTTTAATAAATTACAAAATTGACCCATTAATTAAAGTGCAGTATAATTATATTTTCTTAATTTGCATATAGGTCCCTAGAACCTATCTAATTCTCAAAATAAAGCCCCTAATCTTCTCAATCCTTCACCTTCGCCATTCACTCAATTCAGCCTGCGACACTCGCGTCGGAAAATTTCGGTTAGGTTGCTGAAGACACCAGGTCGCGACCGGCTGCCTGAAACCTAATGCCGTCGCCGATAGTGACTGTAATTCGCAAGTGTCAAATAGGTGGATTTCGGATTAAGGGTTTCATTAATTATAGATCCGATTTCGTCGACGATGAGGCGACGAGGAACTCGATGGCAATGGCGATAGTGTATCAATGGCTGGCGGCGACAACGTCAGTCGGAATGGTTTGACATCGCTGGAGAAGACAATCTATATGGGAAAGCACGCAGTAGCTGGTGCGAGAGACGGACGAAGCACCTGCAGATGACGGCGATTGCGTCGGCGGGCCGCGACTCCAGATTTGGAGGAATTTCCGACGCCGGAGAAGGGACAGTACGGTGGCTGAGATGGGAGATGTGGCGGATGGCGGCGGTTGGAGAGAGGTGGCCGTGGAGAGAGATGCAGAAATAGGGGGAGAGAGATGGGAATAGTGTTGATTTGGTGGGAGTATTATAATTACATAATTGCCCTCAGGAGTCAACAATTGACCAAAATTAACTATAAAATTACAAAACTGCCATTGACAGGTTGACTGAAATTAATAAGCTTTGACTTCATCTTAACCATTGGTAAAATAGATCCAATGGTTCACAAGTATTCTTATTTCTCTCCATATGATTCATTCTCATTTGAGCGCAACTCTATATATATATGTATATATATATATATATATATATATACATACTCACATATACGTAACACATATTAAGTTTAATTATTTTTAGACATGTTTTCTTTACAAAATAGTTTAAAAAATCTTACATGTGCACCTATACTTATATAAATAAAGCATTCTATTTACTAGAATTAGTAGTAAGAAAAGTCAAAGATAATTAATGCATCCTATTTCCATCAAGTATTTTATTTAATTATTTTTAGTTAATTGTTTTATCACATTACACCTTTTCAATACAACTTACCATGATTTTTCTATTGTGATTAAAAACCAAATTTTACGTTTAAAATTTTGTGAAATTTATTATTATTATTTTTATAAAGCACATATTATTTGTTAAAAAATTATATATATATAATATATATATATATAATACACATCACAATAACATGGTAGATGATTTAAATTTTCACCGACCAAAATGCCAATGATTTAAATTTGAACACACCTATGCGTTTGACCAAATGTCTGGATGATTAAAAATTGAGCCCATCAATAGTTATTTAAATTTGAACACACCAGAAATTTATGTACTTTTTATTTATAAATTTATTGAAAGTACTATTTAATGACTGTTATATAAACTATTTTAATATATTTGCAATGAATAAAAGTTTGAATGAATAATTTGTAATGTTATTCATAGTGTTTGTGACTTATGAGACACAAACACATAACTCTATACATATTTGTCAGAGGGCGGCTTAATAATTTTTTAGACTTAACATTGATTAAAAGAGGTATAAAATAGATAATAACATTATTACTTTTTAGACTTAAACGGACAAAGCTGTGAAAAAATTCATTTAATATCTTTGTCCGTGCATCGCACGGGATATGTACTAGTTACAATTATCAATTATTGATAAATTATATGTCCGTTTGGGTCCCTCAGTGTTCCCTACCGCACCGAATCAATTCACCAAAAATCCCAACTTTATCGCTTATTTTTTACTCTTTATTCTTCTCTCTCATAGTAAAAGAGCCTTTTGACCCCTTTCAATTTTTCATAGTAAATCGAGACTCCATCCCCACCCCAACTCTCTTTGATCAACCTTTCTCACCATCTCTCAAGTTTCTATTCAGAATTTGGATCGTCTTGCTGTGAAGATTCAACTGTGATTCTCGCTGAGCATCTTGTTTCCGGTAAGTTTCTTCGTCTTAGATTCTGTCTGCACCGTCATCTCTGTGTGTGTGTGTCTGAAGCAAACGGTTGCTGGAAAATGTTATCGGTGATGCTGTTGCAGCGTGTTGCGCGTCGTGATTGAACTGTTGTAAATTTGATAAATATGGTGTTTTGAATCTGAGTGGATTTTGTGATCGTTGAGTCGTGTCGGTGCTTGTACGGGGGGAGCAACCGGCGGCGAGATGCACTGTAGTTTCTTTTAGCAGATCGTTCTTATGGTTGTGTATTTAGTGGCGATTTGGAAATTATGACTACTCTTTTGTTTTTCAATTTATAATGTGATCATTAGTGTGTATTCATTTTTACCTTGAGTTTGCTGACCAAATTCCCCTTTCAATTGTTGACACATCAATGCATTGTTTTACTTGTTTTTCTTTTCTGGTTTTATGTAAGTATGAGTTATTTCGATGAGGAAATTTCCAATTGAGTTCCATCCAAGCTATGTAGGGAAAAAGAAGGAAAATGAAAATGAAAAGGATTGATTGTTATGGTGTTCCAGTTTGGTATCTTTATGTAAGAGTGATGTGCATTGCAGAAATCAGTTGACTTCTTGTGGTTAAAATCTCAGGTATCGAGCAGTATGCATACTCAAATAGTGGAGATTCAACCTCGCGAACTTAAGTTCTTATGTAAGTGTAATTAGTGAAATTTGCTGCCTTGGTAATTATGATGAGTGATGCCTAATCTTTCCACCTCTGCTATTCGTTAGCTTTATTATTGTTGCGTATCTTATTGCATCATTATTGAAGTTCAAAATAAACCTGTACTATTGTGATGTATTGCAGTACTTTTCGTCTAATTAATGGGTTTGACAAATTTTCTAGCCTCTCATTTAGGTGCAGTGTTAGAGAAAAAATAGGTAAACTGTATTTCTATAGCACTGATATTTTGGCTGTACAGCGATTCTTCGTGTGGCTATTTTTCCTGTGGTGTAGATATAATAGCCTCAGCTTAGAGTGCCTAACACCTAGGTGGCTTCCTAGATAAATTTTTCCTTATTTAATGTGAAGGAGAATTGCAATATTAGTTACTTTAAGTTAGCAGAGGATGAAGCCTTATGTGAAAGGGTACATCATTATATTCAAAATTTATGCAATCAAGTTGAAGCATCACAATTTCATTTCTTTAGCTTTAATTACAATGTCATTTTATCGTAGTGATCTCAAGATATAAACTAAAATGGTGAAAGTTGGAAGTTGAGATAGTGGGCTGAAATAATTTTTAAAACCCTCATTTGGGACTTAGTCTTGCATGTAAGGTTCACTGAAATAGTCTAAATGATACCATAAATTCACATGTTGCAGCTAGATTTTTTTTATATTTATTATTATTATTAAATTATTATTATTTTATTTTTTTAGCATGCAGGCTACACTACGTGTCTGTGACTTTATGGTTCACACTTAGCATACATGCTATCTTCTATTTCTTTTTCATATTGTCTGCGAACCAGCAACGTGTTTATTATAGGTTTAACCAGCTCTTTATAACATTTTGCTATCCTGTTTGTTGCTTTGTGTATTCCGACTATCCAATTGGGTTCTTTAGTTGAAGTGAAGAAACAGAGTTCATGCGCAGTGCACCTTGCCAATGTCACTGACCAATACGTTGCTTTCAAGGTTTGTGGTTGCTCTATCTCATGCCCTTTGTTATATTACAAAAGATGACTCTTCTAAAATATGTATGGTTAGTTGAACACTTTTAATCATGTATCTTATTTCTGGACAAATTATTGAAATGAATATATGATCACTACGCAGGTTAAGACTACATCTCCAAAGAAGTACTGTGTGAGACCTAATGTTGGTATAATCAAGCCAAAATCAACATGTGATTTCACAGGTATTTAAGTTTGCTTCCGTCTACA